ACAAATAGTCTAAAGCAAAGATGAGAATGCTGGGAGGCTGGGAAGCCACTGTTGTTAAGTGCCATTGAGTTGCTTCTGACTCACAGAAATCCTATGCACAACAGAATGAAACACTGCCCAGTCCTGCACCATCCTCACAATTGTTGCTACATTTGAGCCCACTTGTTGCTGTCAATGTGACAACATGTCCAAAGCATGAGAGATGAAGTCTCGCCATCCTAACTTCTAAGGTGCATTCTGGCTGTGCTTCTTCTAAGACAGATTTGTTTGTCCTTCTGGCAGTCCTTGGTATTTTCAATAATCTTTGCCAACATCATAATTCAAATGCATCAATTTTTCACGTCTTCCTTATCGTTGTCCAACTTTCACATACATATGAGGCAACTGAAAATATTTTGGCTTGGGTCAAGCTTACCTTAGTTCTGAAACTGACGTCTTTGCTCTTGAACACTTGAAAGAGATCTTTTGAAGCAAATTTGCCTAATGTTACAGCTCTAATCGGGCTGCTAATCTCATGGTCAGCTTGAAACTAACAGCTGTTCCGCGGGAGAAAGATGAGGTTTTCTGCTCCTGTAAAGATATACAGCCTCGGGAACCCTGTACAGGGTTGCGATGAGTTGGAACTGACTCCATGACAAATAACAACAACATATGTCCTCTGATTTCCTGACTGCTGCTTCTATGAGCATGGATTGAGGAGCCAAGCAAAATGAAGTCTTTGATCATTTCAATTTTAAATTTATGATTTTATTTATTGGTCCTGTTGTGATGTTTTTGTTTACAATGAGATGCAATTCATACTGAAGCCTACAGTCTTTGATCTTCATCAGTATTTCAAATCCTCTTAGCTTTCAGCAAGCAAGGTTGTGTAATCTGCATGTCACAGGTTGTTAATGATTCTTCCTCCATTCCTAATAGCAAAGTCTTCTTCATATAATCCAGATTCTCAGATTATATGCTCAGTGTACAGACTGAATAAGTATGGTGAAAGAATATAACCCTAACACACACCTTTCCTGATTTAAAACCATTTAGTATTCCCCTGTACTGTTCAAACAAATTGCCTCTGGTCTTTGTAAACGTTCCTCATGAGCATAATGAATTATTCTGGAATTCTCATTCTTCACAATGTTATCCATAGAATGCCTTTGCATAGTCAATGAAGCACAAGTAAACATCTTTCTGGTATTTTCCGCTTTCAGCCAAGATCTCTGATATGAGCATTGATATCCCTCATTCCATGTCCTCTTCTGAATCCAAGTTGAATTTCTGGCAGCTCCCTGTTGATGTACTGCTGCAACCATTTTTAAATTATCTCCAGCAAAATTTCACTTGCTTGTGATATTAATGATATTGTTTAATGATTTCCACATTCCACTGAATTCTCAGAGAGCGTAGCGTAGTGGTTACTAATCGGGCTGCGATCCACAAGGTCAGCAGGTTGAAACTACCAGCTGTTCCGCGGGAGAAAGATGAGGCTTTTTGCTCCCATAAAGATTTATAGCCTCGGAAACCCTGTACAGGGTCGCTATGAGTTGGAACCGACTCCATGGCACATAACAACAACAACAACAACCTTTCTTTGGAATGGGCACAAATATGGATCTCTTCCAACTGGTTGACGAGGTTAGGTAGCTGTCTTCCAAACTTTTTGGCCTACACTTCCAGTGCTGCATCAGTTTGTTGAATTTTCTCAATTTTAATTCTGTCTATTCCTGGAGCATTATTTTTCCCTCATGCCTTCAGTGCAGCTTGGATTTATTCTTTCAATACCACTGAGTCTTAATCATATTCTATCTCTTGAAATGGTATCCATGAACCAACTCTTTTTGGTACAGTAACTCCATCTTCTTTTGATGCTTCCTGCATCATTCAATATTTTGCCCATAGAATCCTTCAATATTGCAAATCAAGGATTGAATCTTCAGTTCTCTCAGCTTGGGAAATGCTGAGAGTGTTCTTTCCTTTTGGTTTTCTGACTCCAAATCTTTTCACAATTCATTATAATGCTTTATAAAGAGCATTATAGAGACTATGATAATGGATTTGTATGACTGGGCTAATGGAAAAGAACTAGACCAAAAACAGTGAGAATACGGATAAAACATAAAGACTATAATCAAAACCATTGAATAATGCATGAAGAAATTGTTGAATGGACACCTGTTTTGCTATGTATACCTCTACCAAAAATATCATAAAATATTACTTTAAAAAAAAGCAAATCATATGCATATCCTATGATGTAGAAAACCCATTTCTAAGTATATATCTACAAAGAAAGAGGAAATATGTCCACAAATAGTTCTATATGAGAATGACTAGGAGCACTATTCATAACAGTAAAACATACAAACAACCCAAATGACCATCAGTAGTATTAAGGATAAATATACTGTGGTCTACTCACACAATGAAGTACACCACAGTGGGGGGGGGGGGGAAGAAAACATTGCTACAAGCAACAGGTTGCATGAATCTCACAAACAAAATGTTGAACAAAGTAGCCCACACTCAAATGAATCTGTGCTTTGATTTCTTTTGTATAAAATCTAAAAGCCAAAAAATTGTTCTATGGTGTTGGAAGTCTTGTGTGCTAGTTAAAGACAGGGGACTTCTGGAGAAATGGTCATTTCTGTTTCTTAAAATGACCAAACCTACAAGCTGGGTTGCCTGGATGAGCTACTTAGTTGGTGAAAAATTCATCAAGAATTAGTCATATAATTGGTGCATTTTTCTATGTGCATATTGTTTATACTCCATAAGATGTTTACAATCAATAATATGCAGAAAAGGGTCACCATATTAACCTGCACTTGCAAGTCCAACATGGGTCTACAGTGACTGATCTCTCTTGCTATTTTATACCCAATGACACTTTTTGTGGTGGCAGGAATAAATACCTGACTTTTTCTTGTCAAATAGGAAACATCTTTTTCTTCATTGTCGAAAATGTCTCTTAAATTTTGCACACCTTTATGGGACTTCTGAAAGTAAAACCTCACAATGCCAGAAGTTTCCAACTCCTGATTATGCCACCATGAAAACTTTACCTGCAAGTCACATTAAGTGTATTTTAAAGCAGTGGGGTTCTGGGCACACCCAAATTTCCTGGAGGTATGGTTAACACAGATTCCTAGGCCCTAACTCTAAAGTTTCTTATTTAGTAAGTCTGGAGTGGAGCTTGACAAATAGCATTTCTAACAAATTCCCAGGTGATGCTGATGTTATTGGTTCAAGGACCACACATTGATAATCACTATTTTAAGGCAGCCATGTGAGAAATTCAAGCACTAAAAAGAGAACAGAGAACTGGAAGGCCTCTTTCTCTCAGGTTCACCAAGTACATATTCAGATGTATCCTTCCAGGCATTTTCAAATGATCTATTTTAATATATATGTGCATTCTTAAAAAAATGACAAGGAGAATGAAAAGATCTAAACAAAAAAGGTTATTAAATACATATGTCTTGCAATGTTTTTTTTTAACGAAGCAATCTTTTCATACCATGCTACTGCATTATCTTTAAAAGCCCCAGAATACTCTATTTTGTGGAAGTATCATAATATCTTCAACTAATTCAGTATCCTAACTTGTTTAATTTGTTTCCTAAGTTTGAACTACCAAAAAAAAAAAAAAAAGCTATAATTAATAACCTTTCAATCTCTGCACACTAGTGTCAATTAAATTATGGAATTAGCTCCTAGAAATGTATTGCTGGTTCAAAGGTTATATGAATTAAAAGTTTGATATATATTTCCAGATTTTCCATTCAAAGTGTGAAACCAATTTGCACTTAAGCCAAGAGCATACAAGAGTGACTTTGCCCATACACTTGCCAACACTCCCACCTATCCACTAACACTGAGCTGATTCCAACTTGACCCTAAATGGCAGAGTAGACTTGCTCCCCTGAGTTTCTGAGGCTGTAAATGTTTATGGGAGCAGACAGACTTATCTTTCTCCTGTGGAATGGCCAGTAGGTTTGGACTGCTAACCTTCTGGTTAGCAACCCAACACAACCTACTATGCCACCAGAGCTCCTACCACCAATATTACTGCTATCAAATGTTTTAGTTTGGGCTAAACTAATACACCTCTTGGAGTCCTGTTGTGGCTCTGTAGGATAAGCATTGGACTGCGAACTGAAAGGTCGGCAGTTCAAACACACCAATCGCTCCTTGGAAGCACTACACAGGGTTGCTATGAGTTGGAATAGAATAAACAGCATTTAAGAACTATGACAACAAAAACAAACCCCATTCCAAGCAAGTATTTTGTCACAGCTTGTTCTTTGTCATCTGTCTTTCTTTATGGTTGAATTCTGTCCATAGAAAATTAAAATTTTTGTTTGGCAAAATTAGTAATGCTCTTGCTTGTTTTGCTTTCAAGGTTTTGAATTATTGTTTGAAAGATCTTTTCTTTCCCTCTGGTTTCCCTTGCTTAACTTTTCTCTGGGAGGCAGGGAGTGGAGTGGATTGGAGGTTGAATTGATTACAGGAGTTTTGAATTTGCTAATTCTTGTTCTGGATGACCATGAACATAAAGACTCAATAAGGAATCAGTCTCTGGTGAAGCTCGTCTTCCTCAACAAGTCCCTTCTGGGTCTCTGGCAGAGCCCAGAAAGTGTGCACGAGCATGAATTAGGTACCTAACTCATGAAAATAGAATATGTATGTAAAGGTAAATTACTAAAAATCATACACACTTCTTGCCCCACATGTACAGGTAACAGGGACAGTCTTTATGTTTTTGTGAACTGAGAGAACCAGACGTCTATGTGTCTGATAGCTGGGTTCAAATCAATGTAACAGCAGGTTCAATCCTGTTAGTCTAATCTGATGTGAAGACTCTTCTCATTTCCAAAGTAAAAATTGTTAGACCTAAGTGACTGGCGTCTGACAGGGTGAATAAAATTCCAGTTGCCCACTTGGGAGTAGGGGTGGTAGGAGTGATTCACATGAGGAAGATGGGAAGAAAAGGCCGTCCAGGTACCTACCATTGGTGTTCTGCAGGACCGTGGAGTACTTCACAAAGGCCACATCTCCCTTCTCAACCAGACACCTGCACCACGAGAATCAGAAAGGAGGAGGGTGAACAGGAAATGCATAAAGAAACACCCCATCTACTTGGGCCACTTGGTACATCTGACAAGGACCTTTTCTATACAAGTCTAACACCCAGCCCGTCCACAGGAGTTTGGGTGGGGGGTGGAATGTGATAGAAGAAGAAAAATGTCTACTTCATTTCTATTATAGACCACCCTTTTTTGCTTCCATATTTTATATAGAGATCAGTTTCTCCAGGGGAGGTGCTTGTATTCTATCAACAGGAATAATATAAGGATGACAGTGTTGTTGGATCAAAACACAAGACCAGAGATGAAGGTCAGTGTGCAAGAGGTGATTTTGGAAGATGTATCACCATCATATGTCTGTTGTTATCGGCTCTAGAGTGGACTCTGATGTATGGTGACCCCATGAATGACAAAGGCCTATACCATCTTCAGGGTGTGTAACTCTTGGTGGACAAAATTCTTTTCTAATCCAGAGATTTTTCATTGGATAATTTGTGTGTGTGTGTTTTTTTTTTAATGTTTTATTGTGAATTATGTGATAGTTTACATGGGAGAACATTAGCTTTACATTAATTCTATCGTATACCATTTCATTGCCATGGTTACAATCCCCTCCATGCATCACCAACCAACCAAAGGGTATACACTACAAGCCTGCCCTCCGGTCATCAGCACACAGTCCCTCTCCCTCTGTGTGTCTAAAGTCCCCGACTGCTCCATCTCTCCACATCATTGTCTCTGCCTCCATCTCAGGCATCACTGCTTCTCTGGGTAGTGTCCCGCTCTCTCTCCTCCCTTGATGGTCCCAGGGACCTCCACTCCTAGGCTGAAAAGTTAATCACTCCCCTTGCTACAAAACATCTACCTTTACATTTCCAACCCTCACAAGCAATCCTGATAACAATTATTCACTATTGTATCACAAAAGAGACCCATCCGCATTTCATTTCATCAGCCCTGCCTAGAGAGATTGGATATTACTCAGTGGAGATTCTACCTTCCTTCACGCCCTCTGAATCTAGGTTCCATCTTGAAAGCTTGTAAGCCAGTCACTTCTTGCCTCTGTAGCCCCCGCCCCCCACCACCATTTTGTGTGGTTCACTGGCTAATTTTTGAAAGTAGATTGATAAAACTTTTCTTCCTAGTCTGTCATAATCTGGAAGCTCCATTGAAACCTGTTCACTATCAGTGACCCGACTGATATTTGAAATACCAATGGCACAGTTTACAGCACCACCACCGCACAATGAACTAACTGACAGGTAGTGGACTCAGATATCTAAGGAGTAAAAATTCATAAAAATGAGCATGTACCATTAAAAGTTTGTTCATGCTTAGTCCCATGAAAAATATTTCCCTCTACTCAAGGTGTGTTATTTTTGAGGCATATTGAGCACATTAAACATTAATTTTATGACACTCAGTCAGTTGGAAATTGCTATGAATTGTCAGAAGTACTTCTCTAGTGTTCTCTCTTTTAGTTTCAGGTATCTCTATATGTAGGTAGGATCAATTCCTCTCATTCAAAGTCCCAAAACTCCATTGTCCCAGTTCTTCCTTTTACACCTTCACAGAATCCGGGTTCTGAATGTGAATGATCATCTGTCTTAGGTGTGTATATACCTCAGCGATAAGGTAGACCAGAGGTTCTCAAAGTATTATTTCCCCAAACCAGTAGCAGCAGCATCTTTGAGAAACTTGTTAGAAATGTACATTCTTGGGCCCCACCCCAGACTTCCTGAATCAGAAACTTGGGGGACAGAGTCCAGCAATCTGTAGTTTAACAAGCCCTCCAGGTGATTCTAGTTCATGAAAAAATGTGAGAACCTCAGCTTTAGACAACCAGTTCCTCACTTGATGGAGAAATGAATTCAAATGTTTTCTGATTTTCTATGAACAGCAGACCTAGCCTTCAACCCACAACACTAACACACTCTAAGCTGGGATGCAATCAAGTTTCTGTATTTTGCCTCCAAGTTCTGGATTTTCCTAAATACAGTGCCCAGATGATGGGGTAATATAAAGGTGACAGGACATGTTCACTGGGTGGGTTCCAAGGAGAAAAATTATGGTCAGACACTTACCTGAAGGCCCCTGCAGAGCCATAGTAAGTCTCGTGGCTGTTGGGGGCACATGTGTGGGTTGGACTTGGCAGACTGCTGCTGCACAGAGCACAGAGACTGGAATTGAGGTCTGACCCAGGGGCACAGCTTCCACTGAACAATTCATCTGTGGAGAAACACAACAGCTTCAGTCTATCCCTACAGTTTCCTAGATGCTGCAAAAGACATTCAGTTATTCAATCACATATTATTAAAGAGAAGAAATCGATAGAATCAAAACAGGTTCCAGCTGGAGGAAACTAAAAGGGGAATTGGCTGAAGTTAGAAAAGAGTTTGTGAGTATGGAAGGGCAGGCACAGACTGTAACCCCAAAAGAATGGACAAAAATGGAAGTCCTGTTGAACCACATGCTTTCAGTACCATTTGTCTTTGCTTAAAAGTTTTGCTATCTTGACTTCAAGTTCAAGAAGAGCCTAGACAGAACTGGAAAGCGATATGTAAAAGACTGAGACAAGACCTTTGCCTCACACCCTATACAAAAATGAACTCAACATGGATTAAAGATCTAAATGTGAATTCTAAAATTATGAAGCTCATCAATGAAAAAATAGGGACGAA